ATATAATCGATTAAAATGAAAATAATGCGCAAACACAAAGGGCCCAAACCAAGTGCGATTGGAAGCACTTTGGCTTCTAACTCGTTGTTTGGGACAACGAGAATAACGCACGCTCCTTTTGAAAAATCTCCCTATTCAATGAATTTGACTAGGGGAGAGAAAAAGAGAGTCCAAAAAATTATTTTGTGTGTCAAACAATACACGAAAAAATATTTAAAGTATATTTTTCTCACCAAAGAAAATTGTGTAACTTTAAAAAAAAATGTTTTAAAGAAATTTTGACACACTTATTTTGAAACTGACTCACTAAAATATTTTAGACAGAGAAAAAATGGTTTTTCAACTGACTCAAAAATAATTTTTATCCCTCAGAAATTAAATTGTTTTGTGCAAAAGATATTGTCATCCTTACAAGAATCCTAGACTCAATGAAAATTAAAAAGTCTTCGGAGTCTTCACATCACTTCAAAAAACTGCGTGGGGGGAGCGTTGATTTTTATCCCGTAACTTTCTTGATACGCCTCTTTTCTTTTCTCGGTACGAAAAGTAAATTTTCGATCAACGTTTGAATTTCATCATCCTGTTTGTCATTTATCAAAACAAGAAAATATTCCAGAAAAAATAATAAAGGGGTTTGAACTCATGTCCAACATATATATATATATATATATATATATATATATATATATATATATATATATATATATATATATATTAAATATTACTTGTAAAGTGTTGTAATTTTGTTAAACTCTTCGCAATACACAAACCTGGTCAATTAGTTCTTCTATGTACAAATAATTTTGTTAAACTCTTCACATCACACTAATCATATTAAGGTATATTCAAGTATTCTGAAAGCAAATAATTTTGTAAATATATATTGTATTAAAGAGGAAAATACAATCATAACTTATACAACACGGGATATTTTAAAATTACATAGTAAAATCTATCCCTAAAATATTTCGAGGAAATAAAATTGGGGTAATCTTTCAATTTGAACTCGGAAAAAAAATAATAGTTTATACATATAGTATAAATAAAATTAATTAAAATCAGTATTACTGGAACTAAAAAAAATTCTCGACTACGTGTTGCACATCTTTTATGAAGATATAGTTTCTTGAAAATTTTACAGTGGAAAAAAGTTACTAAAAATTTCGGAAACCCTATGTATATAAAGTTAATAGAATAAATTATACACCTATTATGTATCTGCTTGAAATTTTTGACATGCATCTATCTATTAAATCGGATTAGAAATTAGGAAATCTTTTACCATTTTAAAATATGTTTTTTTTAAATATATATTTCATTTATTAAGAAATATACTTATGCTAACTCGAATTAAAATCCTTCACATGCATGGTTGTATTCAAGCAGATCTAATATTTTTCATGCTTCTTATGTTTATATATTTTATTTATAAATCCAAAAAAATGATATCATATTTGAAAATTTAAAAATTCATCAAATCTAATATAAAAGGGGAGTATTTACATAAAAAAAATTATGAAAAACAATACCATATTAGATCATTTCAGCCACTTCGATCTATCCTCTTTAGAATGCTCCATCTATCTCCCTTCTCTCTCTCTCTCTAATCGGCGATCCAACAGATTTAAAAAGAAATCGCCCATTTTCCGTTTTTTACCTGTTAAAAACGTTATATTAATGTTAAATTTTATATAAATAAAATTTTTTTAAATACTTTTAAATTAGTGTATTTATTCCACGATTAAAGCAGGAATTGGAAGTTTTGTTAGTCCATGTTAAAAGTGCAAGAGTAATCGAGACCCTGATTTTATGGAAAAGTGTTGGAAGTGCTTTTGTGTACGTGGTCATCTTCCGTGCTTACAAATTGGTGACGTGGGATGGGGATTATTTTTTGTTACTGATCATTGTGCCCAAGAAACAACACCTACACCGCGATGTTCGAAGCGACTAAAAATTCCAAACAAGAAATATTTTAACGACCAATTTCTCTTGCATTGAAATATTTTGTATTTTGAATGTTTACTACTTCTAACGTAGACTACTTAGATGTTAAGGCTAAATGTTGACTACGTAGAATGTTGGAAAACATCGATATAATATTTATATGTAACTTATCCAACATGTTCTTTTGATTGTTTTTTGGAATCTTAACTTTTTGTATACCTATTTGAATCTCATGAATGTTACGTTTTGAATGTGGACTTTCAAATTTAGAACCAAAAGATATTTACATAATATTTCAATTTATTGAACAATTTTATTGTAACACATCATTCATCCATGTTCAATTTGTGTATATATTTTGCATAGAAATTGGAAGTTTGAATATGCGCCAAGAAAATTCTAATTTGTCAAATCATGATGGAAACATTTCCAGAAGAATTACTATCTTGCAATCATATTTACCTACAAATGCATCAATGTAAGATTTGTGCACTCCGTCACCTTTGACCGACTTAACGAATGGTATGTGAGTTGATTATATTTATATTTCATATCAGATCATTTATTTAAAATTTTTTAATGTATGTATACATGTTTTTTTGTAGTTAATATTACAACCACATTTGATCGTTTTAATTCGACTCCAAATACTATTGACAAAATATCTTCGCGATTGTGTACTCCATCACCCAGAACTGAGCCTAAAAGTTGTCTTACCCAATCAAATGTTGGTAGCAAAAGGAAAAGATTTGTACAAGTAGGTGCGTTTACAATGTATTAAACAATGTCTTATTTAATATTCAAATGCGTTATGGGTAAGATACTCTGTGTACATTTAATATCCTATATTATTTCTTTACACATTACTCTTCCAATAACACATAGTGAATGAAGATAGCAATTCCTCCGTCATGTCTGATCCATTGATTGACGTATTTATCACCCAAAGCTGGGGTGTAGATTCAAATAAACACAATGAAGATCGAGAAAACACTCCTTCAAATGTCGTCACAGATTTGGACTCGGATTTTATTGAAGAGGAAGATTTTTCCTGTCATCATCGAATAAACTCTTCTCGCAAGAACTTATTCCAAATTGTTGATTATTGGGACGTTGGTGATTGTGTTTACAATTGTAAACACTGCAAGGCCTTCTTTTGGCTAGAAAAGCGTCTAATAAGTCAATCAACCAAAAAGGACCTAAAGTATTCACTATGTTGTAAACACAGAAACATCAAACTTGCTCCAATCAGAGAAGCCCCTATGCCTCTAAAGGACATGCTCAATGAGACGGATGCTGAGAGTAAGCACTTCCAATCAAATAGTCGATCATATAATTGTATGTTCTCATTCACCTCTCTTGGTGGGAGAATTATTAGAGACTCTACCCCTGGTAGAGGTCCGCCTACGTTTAAGCTAGGAGGGCAGAATTATCATCAAATTGGGAGCTTCACTACTACAAAAACGACCAAATAAATCCCCCATTTGCATCGTTAAGAAAAACAAACGATGTAAATGGCAAAAAAAATTTGCGTACCGCTTAGCTTATGGATCGGTTTTTCCTAATAACTGATTCAAAAGGTTTTTTGAATCGGTTATTAGGAATAACCGATTCAAAAGAGTCTTAGCTTTTTGAATCAGTTATTCCTAATAACCGATTCAAAAGGTTATTCGAATTGGTTATTAGGAATAACCAATTCAAAAAGCTAAGACTCTTTTGAATCGGTTATTCCTAATAACCGATTCAAAAAACCTTTTGAATCAGTTATTAGAAAAAACCGATCCAAAAGAGTCTGTTAAAACACATCCAACCCCACCTTATCCTTAAGCAATTTTGAAAAAAAACCTCCAAACCCTTTCTTCGTCTTCGTCGTGCTCGCTCCTCGACGTTGCCCAAGTCCTTTGCCATTGTCGTTGCTCGTCGTGCGCCTCGCCGTTGCCTCGCCGTCGTCAACTCCCCAGCCACGCCGTCGCCGTGCCCGTGCCGCCTCGAGCCCTGCTCCACTTTGCCCTCGTCCACCTCACCCTCGCCGTTCGCCGTTGTTGCCTTGCCGTTCGCCGTTCATTTGTTTGCCGTTCACCGTCATCCTCACCCTCGCCGTTCGCCGTCGTCGCTTCTTTAAGGTATTTTTTTTAACTTTAAATATTTAATTATACTATTATTTGTTTATATATTTTTGCATTAGGTTAATATTTAATTTACTATATATGTTTTGTGTATATGTTTTAGTTGAAATGTGACATTTTGATATAGATTGCTTTTCAAAAATAGGTTGTTTAATTACTTTGTGTTTGATTCTACATGATCTGAGATGTTATAATATAGAAATAACATACATTGACCGACCTAGATACCCGTTTAAAATTTACTCATTAGGAGTAAATTTTAAATAGCTCCTAGTTTGGAGATGTTTTTGAAATGCTTCTCTCACTTAGGTAGTGAATGTATTTCTTTCTCTTTGTTCGGTCATTTTTTGGTTTGACATTTCCTAAATGTGTTCTTTGGGTGCATATGTAATTACGTTACATCGTGCACTTGGGGAACTATTGGGAAATGTTGCCGAAATTCTGATAGGTCAAAGAAAATGAAATACATTTACTAGTGAGAGTGGCATTTCAAGAATGGGTTAGGATGGTGTAAAGAAGGATCATGTGTATAATGAACAAGTGCTGCCGGATTTTTGTTACATCATAAGAAAATACATTCGCGAAGATCACGAAGAAGGATTATTGATATATGAGGGAAAGAAAAAGTTAAAATAATGCTTTAGGTATTTTTTCTGTTTATATTGATCATTTTCATTTAATTCATTGTTGTTTCACTTTTATTATACTTATGTTATCTAGATTATTTTGAATTTGTGCAGGTATGGCAGACGAACGGAAGAAGAAAAAGGTTAGAGGTGCCGGGAAGTGCGAGAAGCTGTATAAGAGGAGGAGGGAGGGTCACCTGCCTATAGAGTGGGAGCGTGGGGAGCCTGTACGTGGACCGTATGTTTCGGAGTTTTCTGGGCTTATAGGGTTTGAGGCCCGATCGAGAGTGCCGATTACTTATAATAATTGGCAAGATGTCCCGCAAGACCTGAAGGCCACGGTACTAGACGGGGTTCGGGTATGTACCACTTCATTTATCCAAATCTGCTAACTTTAATTGTTACATGGTTCTATACATAATAAGTTGTTGCTTTATTTTCTTGTAGGATATATATGTGATACCTCCCAGTGGGGCCTGGCGTGTCATGACGGTTGCAGCGTCGAGACATCGCGCTTTCAGGACATATTTACGAGGAGCCTATTTGACGGAGGGAGGGGGTCATTACGGTAAGACTCCCTTTGATCTTTACACCTCCAGAAGCTAAGGTAAACCATAATTACCTTCATTGAATGAAATTAACTGACATATTAATTTATTTTAAACAATTGTTTTAGGCTTTGAGCGAGAAGAACAGGGATATATAGAAGAAGAATACCTATCCGCACTATATGGGCCGGGGTGGATATGCCATGCTTCAGCGTGAGTTGGCTGCTTCTCAGGCCACCACTTCTATCGATATCGCTGGTTCGTCTACCGAGACGGGTTCTCAACTCGGACGAGAGGACTCTTGGTTGCGAGGTCACACCCCGGGGAGGCACGCAGAAGTTTTGGACCCTGCACTGATGGAGATTCATGATAGGATAGTAAGCATATAATCTACAATTACGTTAATATATTTGTTTATTACTTGTTTATTATTTGTTTACAATTTATTTACTTCTTTTCTTTCTTAACTGTAGGTCCAGCTGAAGAAAGAGGTCGCTGCCGGTACCTTTGTGCCAGATGGGCACAATGATGTACTGACTAGAGCTTTAGGGACTACTGAGCACCCGGGGCGGACGAGGGGTGTTGGGTCATATTCGGGCTTACGTAAAGTTTTCAAAGGCAACATGAAGCCTTGTAAGCCCGAAGGTAACTATATGACTGAGGAGGATCTTTTGCAACGTCTTTCTAACCTTTTACAGCAGTATGGACTATCTGAGTCTAGGGGTGCTCCAGACTTTACATCCATCTCGCAGCACACACCTCCTGTAGCACCTCATTATGGGCAGCGTAGTAGCAAGGCGTCTGCAGATTTTGTTGACTTCACCGATCTCACTGATGTACATATATTTTTTAATTTAGGTTTCAAGTTCGGTTTACGTTTACTTGTTTCCGACATTAGTTAAATAATTTTTTTGTAGGTTGCTGCTTGTTACTTGAGGATCTCTAATCCAGCAGATTACATAGTGGCACATGGATCGGTTTTCCCACGTGCACCAGAAGATATGGTGCACGGTGTTCCCCTCCTTCCCCACCAGGTTAAGGTCTCTTTGACCCTTGTGCTTCCTGGAATGGGTGAATATACCATTCCCTGTCCGACTGAGCATATAGAGACTGTCGCCGATTGCGAGGGGAGCTTCGTTGCATGGCCAAAGTCATTGGTGGGCCTTGGAGACGTAAGAAGTAAATAAATTTAGTTCTTTTTTATTCAACATCATTTGGGATGTGTTTCATATATCTTTTTTTGGAAAATATGTGTAGCCCCGGTGCACACGGCTCGACATGGCGAATTCTCATCAAGCAAATCTCATCCTATTCTCGTCGTACGCCCCACTGCTCGTAGCTCTTCTGTACAGGATTTTGTTGACTGGAACTCATACGTCTCATTTGGGCCGAGGTGTAGAGAGTTGTGTCAGTGGCTGACACGCACATCTGCTTTGCCTACCATCAGCGTCATTCTCGATCCCGAGTCCATGCTCTATCCGGAGGAGACGGAGTTGAGGATGCGTCCGGAGAATATACGTGAGTTTATGCGATGGGAGGAGGTCGATCAGACCATAATCATTGTTTTTTAGGTATGTCAAGCACTACGTACGAATAAATTACTATTATAATTATAATTATTTCTTATAATTGTAATTATTATTTACATGTGAAATTACAAAATTGTTGCACGATCATATGATGGAGCACGGCATCGAGTCTTTCGGGTTGTTATGTCCGTAGAACATGGCGTACATGGTAGATTTTGGAGATCGCCAGTATCTGGATAGAGCACTCGAGACCTATCAATCGCGACCCTGGATACTTATGCCATTGTATCTATCGATATCGTATGTTTTCTAAACCATTTCCAATATGTATTTTGGTTTTTTATTTTAAGTTAGTGACTAACGCTTTTTCAATTATAGGCATCATTGGGTGTTAGTTGTAATACGTTTGTTTGAAAACAAATTGTATTTTCTAAACTCAATCAAGGCGACCGGAGGGCATAAGAAAATGAAGGTGAAGACTTTCGTCAACGAGTGAGTATTAAGAAATTTATTTCTTATTAATGAAATTCTTTATTTGTTAAGATATTAATTTCTTATTAATTTGTTTTTTACATATATTAAAGGTCTTGGCGGTTACTTCGGGAACGGCATATGCCTCAGCTTAAGGCTCGACCAGATTGGGTTGATGTTCCCGGAGTACCCCAACAAGTAGGTTGAATGTGGTTATTATACCATGCGATTTTTATGGCTCATTGTCACTATGTATGCACAAGGTTCTTTACTGTTATCCGAAGTAAGTTTATTTTAGTGTTTTTTTGAAAGTAATGAAGTGTTTATCATCATTTTCTTTTTCATAGATTATTAAACTTTATGTTGTATGTTGTTTTCGTATTGCAGGTATTTCAGTCTACTTTGCCTTATACTAGAGACGAATTAGAAGAGGTTAGAGAGTTTTGGGCGGGTGGTTTTCTCGATGAACTAGTGTAAGTTTGTGTTATATTGTATAGTATTAAAGTTATGTTAGTAGAGTGTAGTTGTTTGACTCTTAGTTGTGTTGTTAAAACTTAGAAGAGTAGTTGTTTTAATCTTGGTATTTTTTAAGACGTACAAGTGGTGGATGCAAATGTTTACTTTTTTGGTTTAATTTGTTTTGTGGAATTTGAGTTTTGTGAATGTATTTGTGTTTGTTATTGGTTTGTGTTAATTGTTGTTGTGTTGATGGGTTGAATTGTTGTTGTTGAATCTATATTTTTTGCACAGAATTCTGTGAAAAATTGAAAATGTAGTGGATCGGGAGCAAACAAAAAATTCTTTTGAATTTTTTTTGCATCGGTTATCTGGTAATAACCAATTCAAAAGCCTACTCCCAGAAATGGTAAAAGAGCATTTGAATCGGTTATTTGGTAGTAACCGATTCAAAAGGGAGGATTTTGAATCGGTTATTACCAAATAACCGATTCAAATACCTCTTACCAGAAATGGCGCCAATTCTGGGAAGAGGCTTTGGAATCGGTTATTTGGTAATAACTGATTCAAAAGCCTCCCTTTTGAATCAGTTATTACCAAATAACTGATTCAGAAGCCTCTTCCCAGGATAGGCGCCATTTCTGGAAAGAGGCTTTTGCATCGGTTTTACAACCGATGCAAAAAGTAACTCTAGCATTTGCATCGCGGGCTTTTGCAACGGTTCAAAACCGATTTAAAAGGGTCAAAATAACCAATTCAAAAAGTCTTTTTTGTAGTAGTGCTTGCTACCACCTACTGGTATACTGCCAAAATTTGCCCAACTCTATATTTACGACACGCAAAATGAAGATTTCAATATAATAAAGTCGGTGAGGTATATACTTAAATTAACAAAACTCATTATTTCTAACATAGAAGTTATATACGCATAAAACAAATTTTTTCATGGAATATTTTGTTTTGTCGTTTTCTTACAGAAAAGATGAGAATGTGAACTCGCTACATGTTGAGATTGTTCGTAAGCTTAGGGAAATGTTGGATACTCACAATGTTTTAGGAAAGTCTTTTCGAATTATTGGGGAGAACATAAGGGAGTCATCAGATATCAATCTCACTTTAAAGTTGATCGGGAAGAGACCTTCAGATCCTGTTAGAATAAAGGCCCAACGCTAGAGGGGGGG